ACTTGTTGGGTCTTTCCCAAAAAGACTCATGGCTGTATTCGATCAAAAGGGTGCTTCTACTAAATACTGAGCAAAGGGTCTGAATACTTAGGACCATGTGATATTTCAGTTTTTCTTTTTTAATAAATCTGCAAAAATGTCAACAATTCTGTGTTTTTCTGTCAATATGGGGTGCTGTGTGTACATTAATGAGGAAAAAAAATTTACTTAAATGATTTTAGCAAATGCCTGCAATATAACAAAGAGTGAAAAATGTAAGGGGGTCTGAATACTTTCCGTACCCACTGTATATTATTATAATAAGAAACGTGCATGATTGCATAATGCTTACTGGCTCACTTGAACGAGAACTGACAGTATTGTTCTGCATTTTTGTTCTGTTTTCATGTTTTATTTAGATATTTGGTCTATTATTATCTGGATTTCTTACTCTTCTCCAGTGTTGGGGGTAACTCATTACAAGTAACGCGAGTTACGTAATCAGATTACTTTTTTCAAGTAACTAGTAAAGTAACGCATTACTTTTTTAATTTACAAGAGAATATACGAGTTACTTTTTCATAAAAGTAATGCCAGTTACCTTGTTTTCCCATTTATTGACTGACAGCTCTCCTGTCCCCATATTGGGAGAAATCAGAAGTGCAGAGGCGTTGTGTGCGCTGTGTGAACATGATGTTACTGTAGTTCTAGACTAAATGTGAATGTGCATTAATTCATCCCACTCACAAAAAACAGATTTAGTATTCATCAAAATGAATTAAAACAGTGAAATGCAAACTCAGAATATGACACAAACCTGCAATAATTCAATGTTAAATAACACAAATGTATCTAATCCCATTCTATTAACCAATGTCTTTGCTGCTGACCTTTGATGATCCAGTTCAACCATGCTAATAAGCAAAAATGACTTTAGATAAACTAACAATTGTGCTTTGTTTTTTTATTGCCGACACTCTTCTTCTGCGTTCTACTGTACAGACATGAATTTACTTTTGCTTCAGCCTGAGGTTTATTCATTACACTTTTTGGTGTGAAAGGGCTTTTACATTTGCTATAAATAGAACTTCTTATATAAAAAATAATCAAGCCCTGCTTATATTTAAAAAGTAATGCGAAAGTAACCCAAAAGTAATATAACGCATTACTTTCCATAAAAAGTAACTAAGTAACGTGCCTCGTTACTTTTTTAAGGAGTAACGCAATATTGTAATGCATTACTTTTAAAAGTAACTTTCCCCAACACTGCTCTTCTCATGAGAGCTGCTGCTTTTCTTTCTGTAAATGAAATTTCCAATTCATTAGACAAGGGTTATTATTGTTGACTAAAACTAACATTGAAATATAAAATGGCTGCATCATGTCAGTCCAATCCCTGTGCAGTGGCCCTAAAAAGTGACACTTACATTTTTTTGAATGAACTGCATTAAGTGTGGCGTACGTCATGTCAAATACTTTTGGAGCCACTGTATCTTTGAAAAGAATCACAGAATAAAACGGCAACAAAGTCCAGCACTAATGAGTGAATGCTCTGTAGTGAGGAGCTGCTCTGCAGACAATGAGGGGTCGCTCATTTGTGTCTGTGCAGCAGGGTTTGTGACAGACTCGTACAAGACTGCTCATTATCGGCTTTTTGCTCACATGCCTGAATGGATGGCATCTTTGCAGACCTGTCGCCTGTCCTACATTCACCCCGCCACCAAGAAAGCCCCATTCACACCGAAGCTTCGGCTGAATCGTTTGCATGCATTGTAATTATGAATGAAACGAGGGCAAGCAGGACCGCAATTTTGCAAATGGCATCTAAATCGTTGATTACCGTTTACTTTTTTATAATGCATTTTTAGTTGCATGACCAAAACCTTAATTACAAAAAGTGCTTGCTGTAGGCTATAACAGAGGGTTTAAAGAGGGAACCACATCAAGGATTATAAAGTGTAAAACCCAATGCAGTACAAAATGCGTTTAGTGTCATTGTGAAACTCAAGCACAGGATTAGTCTTTCAGATCACAATCCGTCTGTGTGATTGATTTGGGGCATTCTGTCGATTTGTGCTACCCTGTCAGATTTTGCTACCTCCCATTAAAACAAATTATGGTTTATTACACCTACCCTTACAATAATGCAAATGCAGTAATTATGTGTTATTCGCGGTTGTGGCTGGAAGGTATACCGCTACGGCTAAATTCATTTTTTCTACCTATTAGATTGTGTTTTATTAACTTCTACACCTACTCCAACCCTAAACCTACCCATTGTGCGCATGCGCAGTAAGCCCTGGTAGGACAATCTGATGGGTAGGATAAAACATAGACATATAAATACCTAGACGCCTCATTGGCCGCTGGATCGTACGTCAACGTCGCCGCCATCTTGGTGCGGGCATCTTTTCCATCATTCTCATAAGTGGACTCGAGAAAATGCCTCAGTCGTGTGCTGCTTGGGGCTGTACAAACCGCCGCACAATTGAAAATAGGTCTCGGGGAATTACTTTTCACAGGTAAGACTGAAAAGTTGTTGACTGACACTGATCTGGTTGTATTTGGTCATTAAAACATTGTTGACACAACTTGACAGTAATTGACCGTCGGAGTCAGACTATTAATAGCTAGCGACATCGCTATTTAGCTGCTAGTCTAGGAAACCAGAAATGTTACATTCTTTCTTATATAGTTTTAGCGTATGGTAAA